TTACCCAATGCCAAAATCACCCTTTGGTGCATTTCTCTGAAGGTGTCGCATTCATTAAACATTACACAGCTGACTGAATCTGCAGATAAGGGCTCCAGGTAAGGGCCTTTGGACTCTTATGTGGCAACCACCGTGGTCCCCCAAATTGTTGGGCACAGATTTTATGCTGTGTTAAATTCTTCTGTACCAGATTGAGAAATGAGGGACAGCACAGGCTTGTCATGAGGCATCCAGAATGTAACACTTCTCCAGCCTCAGCAGAGCTGATGAAACCCTCTCAGCCCCGGATGTGAGGTGCAAAGGAAATGTCCACATCAGGGGCTTCCAAGCCTGGGAAGACTCAGAGAACAGGGAGGGTGAAGGCAGGCATTGCTGAATCTTACCATCGCCACAGCTGGCGTGCGGTGGTCACTGAAGAAACAGAATTGAGCACTGGAGATACCATGTGCCAAATCTGGGGCTTCAAATGACAGCGTCAACTCCAGCACCAAGGACTTCCTGGTAGAGAAGGCTGGCTTCGTGGACTCGGTGACCGATCTCCTGATGGGACTGTGCTGCATCAAGCTTTCCTAAAATTAGCTTTCTAGAGCACTCTGAGGGAAGGACTCAGCTGGGCATGGGGTTTTCTTGGTGCGTGTTGCCAGGTGACAGTGTTATCAAAGTCTTGTTAGCCCTGTATTCTGCCCTGTGAATCCTTAGTAGGTGGTAAGCAGGACGTCAGCCACGCAGCCAGACAGCGGTGCAGTACTGTGGACTTCCGCAGAAGAGGCTCACCTGAAGAATGGCCCAGGTCTGCAGTCTGGGTTCACAGAGTAACACTTCAGGGAGTTGTTGCGTCGGCCTGTCCAGGGGCATCTCCAGCTTCAGGCAGCCCAGGGGGCCCCACAGTCTTCTGTCTCATGCCCTGCTGGGCACCCTTTCCTCCTTTTATTTACCCCAAGTCAAAGCTCATTCAGCCATTCCCTCCTCATTCTCTGAACAGCCATCTGCTGGTCACTTTCTGTGGGTTGGACACAAGACACATATCTGAATTGTCCTCCCTGCAACTCTTGGGCTGAGTCCTTGTCTTGTCCATTCGCACATGCACAGAAGTTGGTAACATTTAAACACCAGCCTGAGGCCAACTGGAACTCACTATGTTTCTTTATATAATTGTGATAAGAAAGATCATATATAAAGCATTAGACTTACTAATGTTGAGCCTGCATAAAATCTACAAATGTAATCTTCACATATTTCCCAGAGGCACTTAGCTACTCAGGGGACAGTAACCACCAACTCTTAAATGGTGCTGAGACACACCCATTATCTCCTTTAGCCCCTACAGCAGGGATAGGGAACACCCAGCCCAAGGCCTGCGAAATCACTCGGTCTGGCTCTGCCAAGGCAACCTTAGGCAGGCTGGGGTCAGCTCTGTGGCATAGCAGGTAAAGCCACCACCTACAGTGCCTTCATCCCATGTGGGTGCCAGTTAAAGTCCCAACTTCTGCACTTCCAATCCAGCTCTCGGATGGCCTGGGAAAGCAGAAGATGGCCCAAGTCCTTAGGAAGCTCCTGGCTCCTGGCTTTAGATTGACTCAGCTCGGGCTGTTGCGGCCATTTGGGGAGTGTGAACCAGTGGATAGAATACTTACTCTCTCTCTCTCTCTCTCTTTTTCAAAGAAAGAAATCTTTATTTAAAAAAAATTGGGCCGGCGCCGCTGCTCACTAGGCTAATCCTCTGCCTTGCGGCGCCAGCACCCCGGGGTCTAGTCCCGGTCGGGGCGCCGGATTCTGTCCTGGTTGTTCCTCTTCCAGGCCAGCTCTCTGCTGTGGCCAGGGAGTGCAGTGGAGGATGGCCCAAGTGCTTGGGCCCTGCACCCCATGGGAGACCAGGAGAAGCACCTGGCTCCTGCCATCAGATCAGCGCGGTGCGCCGGCCGCGGCGGCCATTGGAGGGTGAACCAACGGCAAAGGAAGACCTTTCTCTCTGTCTCTCTCTCTCACTGTCCACTCTGCCTGTCAAACAAATTTTAAAAATAAATAAATAAATAAATAAAAAATTAGGCCAGTTTTTAAGTTGATAATTTTGTGTGGCCTGCGAATGATGTTACAAATATCCCAGTGGACCTTGGCAGAACAAAGGTTCCCCAGCCCTGCTCCGGAGCAGCCCTGTTAGCCGGCTTCACAGATGAGGGAACTGACCATCAGTGCAGATGAAGAACTTGCTCAGCTGCTCAGTGGCACTGGGGAGGCGGGAGCGGGTGCTCGGCCTCTGAGGCCAGATCTGCCTTTGCCCCTGCCCCGGGAATAGCCACATGCACTTCTCGGTCAGGGCTCTTACCATCTCTGTATGTTCTTGAGAATGCAGGTGAGTGGCCCAGGCTTTGCTGCTGGATTTCAGCCTCAACTCCTGCCATACTGCCTCCCCTGTCATTCCTTCCCCCTCACCCCCACCCCAGTCTGGTCTTTGTGCCCCGAGTATCCTGATGCACTTAGAAATGGATTCCATTTCCAAAGCTCTTACAACACAGCTGTATGGACATGTACAGTAGCAGCTTCGGAGTCTCTTTGTGAAAACCACATATTGCTGCATGAGGGGTGATGGTTGGATAAGAAGGGCAAGCCTCGACCAACCCGGCTTATTTGAAGGTTTTCTTTACAAACAAGTTGGCTCATGAGTACGGCTCAGGTATACATGCCAGTGAACACGAGGCTTCCCCTGTAGTCTTCCTCATGTAGTCTCCTGAAAGCAGCTGGATTTGAAGCACCGTCAGCACACAAAGCTTGAAGTAGCAGGTGCTCTGTCACCACATGAGCCCCTGTGACATCGTCCGTGCTAACTGTTGGCAGGCGCTGAGATAATGGTGACTCACCCAGAAGTAGACGCAGTCGGGGGCCACATTTCAGACAAAGCAATTGGACAGTTAGTGCTGATGGAAAGGCTTGTGGTTAGGGGTAGACTCTGATTGGCACATGTTCTTGTAGGGGCCAAAAGTTCCAGGCAGAGCCTACTAATAAGTAAGATGTGGACTTCTATCGGGTCTCTTCCAAGCTGCTAGGAGCCTTCCCAGACGTGACCTCATCGCATAGCAGGGCTGTGAAGTAGGGAGGTGAAGTGTTATCTCCTGGCTCCAGGTGAGGCAGGGAGGGGCCTCACTTCTGAACCTCTGCTACCTCCTCCACTCTTGCAGGTCATACACACTTGCCCGTTCCGTGGCTCCAAGCTCTGCTTTCAAGCTCACTCTGTTCTTATTCTCACCTCCCAGTCTGCTTCATAAGTTGTCACTTGTGTTCCTCCACTTGGTTGCATCTGCTATGGTGGCAACACCTCTTCCCCAGGCTCTGACCCCGGCCCTACTCTTGGCCCACTGTCTTGCAGCCTCCCACATTATAGCCAGGCAGAGCCGATGTGTTTTGTCCTGCCCCTCGGCTGGCATACAGCCAGGACTGAAACGCCTGGTTCAGTATTAGACAAGCATATGGATAATAGCACTTTGTGTGTTTTGGTGCTTTGCAAGGTGGGGTTTCAGGCCCTGCCGTGCTTTCCTTCCCCAGGGGAGCAGGCAGACACAGGCAGCTGAATGAGATCAAAGTCACTAGCCAGGATGCCTGTCCAGGGCTGGGTGGATGGTGCTCTCCACAGGTGGCTCTCTGCTCCCTGCCAGATGGCAGGCCACAGAACAGGCCTGTATGGCTCCCCCGCCCCTTCTGCATTCCCACTCCTTCCTTCTCTTCTGAGTGGCACTGCCCCTCCCATATTCCCATATTTTCAGTACTCTCACCTTTCCTTTTGACCTGTGAAGTGCGCAGCTCCCCTTCTTTGGAACCTTTGGAGCCTTCTTTTGCTGCCTCTGCCTGCTTCCTCCTTGTCCTTGTCTGGAGCCAGTCTCCAGCAGGGTTCTCTGTTCCTGCTGGGTCACAGCTCTCATGGCTGTCACCCCTGCTGCTGCCCCTTGCCCATCTCATGCCCTGCCAGGGGATGAGCTGCCAGGTCTCTCCCATCCCCTTTTGTCTGCTTCATGGCCCACATCTGAGAGTACCTCAAGCTTTGCACCCTGCAGCTGCCCCCAGGTAAAGTGGCTGCCCTGTGACTGCCTGCAAACAAGCAAACCTCTCCAGTCAGCCTGGCCCTGGTCTGTGGGTCCCCTCCCCATGTCACCTCGCCCCCAGGTGCTGCTGCTGTCTTTCCAGCACGCCGGGCCTCTGTCCCAACAACTCCTCTACCGAGGATGCCTTTTCTCTGCTGGGACTCTCATCCTGCCACAGCCTGTCTGTCCTGGGAGGGCCAGCCATGCCACCACCGCTTCACTCGGGTGGGTCAAAGCTGCCTCCTGACCTCATCCACCTTACCTGCCTCAGTCTCTGCCTTGCGTTCCTCCCACCAGCGGTTTCAAGAGGGCTGTGGGCAGCCTGCCTTCCTCTCAGTGGTCAGTTCTCTAAGGGCAGATCCTCTACTGCTGTAGCCAGCACGGGGCTTTGCAGACACCAGGCAGTCAATCAGCATTTTACCAGAGACTGTTTGGCAGCCACGCCTTCCTTCCAGGGCAGGTCACTGGGTCCCAGGGGTCAGCATGGGAGTCAGTTTTCCTTGACTCCTGCAGTTGTCTTTTCCATTCAGCTTTGTGCATTTTGGTTTCATCCTGGATTCTCCAGTCCAACCCCACAAGTTTACTAAGGAGAAGCCGACTTAAGGTTCTTTCAGATCCACCATCAGAATTCCTACATGTTCTTTTCCCAGGCTAACCAGTCTGTGGCGCGGTGTGTGCTGGGCTTCTGTCATCAGTCTCCTGCAGAGTGCAGGTCCTGTAGCCCCCTTACTTGCTCTGAGGGTTGTCTGCAGCACCTCTCCGAGGAGGGCAAAGTGTGGTTTGAGCCAGAGTGAGGGATGGGAGCCGCCGGTGGCTGTGTGTTGCAGTGACGATGGCAGGCACTCGGGCCGAGTGGGGGATGGGAGCCACCGGTGGCTGTGTGCTGCAGTGACGATGGCGTGCACTCACGTCTCCGCGCTTCTCTTCCAGGAGATGGCGGGCAGAGCGCTCAAGCAGACCGGCAGCAGGAGTATAGAAGCCGCCCTGGAGTACATCAGTAAGATGGGCTACCTGGACCCGAGGAACGAGCAGATAGTGCGAGTGATTAAGCAGACCTCCCCAGGTGAGCCCAGACCTCAGTGTAGGGGGTGAGGAGGATTTGGGACTCAGGAGCACAAAAGAAGTGCAGCTGGGCCTGGTCAGTGCCATCTGTTGGCCAGTCGCCTCCTTCCGGTAGTGGGTGAGCTGAGCCGGCCATGCCCCGGTAGAGGCAGCAGATCTCCGGTGGCCACCCCACCCCACCCCACCTCATCTGAAGTACCTGAAGTACTTCTTCCCTGGGGAATTTGTTTTTTTCCCTGAAAGATCTAAAAATACAGCAACCTAAGAATAAAAATGTTCTTTTACTTTCTTGTGGGCCTGTGGAAGAGTCTTGGAAAAGAGAGGTTTAGGCCGGCGCCACGGCTCACTAGGCTAATCCTCCGCCTGCGGTGCCAGCACCCCGGGGTCTAGTCCCGGTCGGGGCACCAGATTCTGTCCTGGTTGTTCCTTTTCCAGTCCAGCTTTCTGCTGTGGCCAGGGAGTTCAGTGGAGGATGGCCCAGGTCCTTGGGCCCTGCACCCCATGGGAGACCAGGAGAAGCACCTGGCTCCTGGCTTCGGATTGGCGCAGTGCGCCAGCCACAGCAGGGTGAACCAACGGCAAAGGAAGACCTTTCTCTCTGTCTCTCTCTCACTGTCCACTCTGTCAAAAAAAAAAGGGGGGGGGTTTAGTTCATTAATTTGAAAGCACACCTTTTTTCACACTGGAGCCCCTGAGAACAGGTGCCAAATGGCAAGTGCTGCAGGATAGTGGGCCTTGTCCGAGTGCTGGGTTTCCCTTCAGAGGCCCTCAGGAGGCCCAGGGGCACCTGCGGTCCCTGGGGTGTGATAAAAGAGTCATGGGAATGAACACTTGGTGTGGTGGGAGGTGTCACATGCCTTGAAGGCTGTGTCTCACTGTGACGAGGACACCATTTCTGTTCTCTGGAGACCAGGAGTTTCCTTACCCAGTCCCTGGCTGGCATCTGTGTGTGATCCTTACAGTTGGGTCTGGGGGGATGGGCGTCCTCCCCTGCCCATCTCCCTGCAGGCCAGATCAGCTCCGCTTTGCCTGTGCCCCGCCATGTCCGCTGGCTGGGCCTTGGCTCTGCCTGTTGTTCCCCCCGGGAGGGGTCTCCCCACAACCCAGCACAGGTCTTTGCAGAAGCAAGCAGGGTAGAGCAGGGCTGGCACAGAGGGGAGCAGCTTCTGCCCTTCCGTCCCCGTGTCTGTGTCAAATGAGAGATTTGCACAGCAGGGAGGTCAGGATTAAGCAAGTCGCAGCTGAAACCCATCTGGTTATTTGTAGAGATTTTATGGGCGCTTCATAGTTTTAATAAAGGAGGTGGCAGAACAGCTTCAATTTCAAAAATAGGAAAAAGAAAAGTGGGCATTTGAACTATGTGGCAGTAAACCCAGCAGCCCCAGCTCAATTCAGCAAGGCAAAGAGGCCGCTGGTCCGAGCGTCCCCGCCCTGCCCCGCCCCAGGACTGGGACACTGCCCTCGGACTGCCTTGCCCCTTCCCGGTGCCCTCTGGACTCCAGCCCAACCCTGCACTGGGCCACTTTTGCGGCCACTGGTCCACAACGCAGCCCCTGGGATGAAGGCCCTGTGAGGCTCTCGGCCCCCTGAGGCATTGCCAGGTAGGGACCCAGAGCGCTGGGGCCCACTGATTCCGTCTTTCCATCTCCTGCAGGAAAGGGCCTGGTGCCTACCCCGGTGACGGTGACGCGGAGGCCCAGCTTCGAAGGCACAGGTGACGCGTTCCCACCCTACCATCCGCTGGGCGGCGCGGCCTATGAGGGCCCCGCGACGCTGGATGAGGTGCCGCGGCCCTACGTGGACTTCCTCTTCCCCGGGGCAGCGCCCCACGGCGTGCCGGGGCCCCCGCACCCTCCCAAAGGCTACGCAGCAGCGGGCGTGGAGGCGGCGGGGCCGCACTTCTCGGGCCCCGGCGCTGCGGGACCCACGCTGCCGCTGCCCGGCGCGCACTATGGCCGCGCGCACTTGCTGGTGCCCGGGGAGCCGCTGGCCTACGGCGTGAAGCGCAGCCCCTCCTTCCAGAGCAAGGCGTCGCCCGAGGCTGCGGTCTACCCGGGCCTGACTGCCAAGGGCCAGGGGGGCCCGCCGGGCGCCGGCCTCGCTTTTCCAGCCCCAGGCGCCGCGCTCTACGCCCCACACCCGCACCACAAGCAGGCCAGCCCCGCGGCCCACCAGCTGCACGTGATGAGCGCCAGGGGCCAGATGTTCGCAGGCGACAGCCCCCCGCAGAGCCTGCTTGCCCCCTCCAGAAACAGCCTCAACGCAGACCTGTACGAGCTGGGCGGCGCCCCTGTGCAGGCTTGGCCGGCCACCTCCCTGGCCCGCCGCGACTCCCTGCAGAAGCCTGGTCTGGACGCGCCACGGCCGCACGCGAGCTTTCGGCCCGACGGCCGCGCGCCCAGCAGGACCAACTCCTTCAACAGCCAGCAGCCGCGGGCCAGCGCTCCCGTCCAGGCCGAGCCCTCCCTGCCTGCTCCCAACACCGTCACGGCCGTCACGGCGGCGCACATCCTGCACCCTGTGAAGAGTGTGCGGGTGCTGAGGCCCGAACCGCAGACGGCGGTGGGGCCGTCCCACCCGGCCTGGGTGCCCGCGCCCGCCCCGACCGCAGAGGGGCTGGACGCTAAGGACGAGCACGCCCTGGCCCTCGGCAGCCCCTACCCGCTGGATCTGGAGTTGGGCAGTCCCGACCGCAGGTGCCCGCCCCCACCCTACCCGAAGCACCTGCTGCTGCCCAGCAAGTCGGAGCAGTACGACCTGGATGGCCTGTGTGCGGGTGTGGAGCAGAGCCTCCGAGGGGGCACAGCCGCCGAGCCAGCCGACAGGGCAGACAAGAGCCACAAGGGCGCAAAGGGGGACAAATGCGGGAAGGACAAAAAGCAGATCCAGACTTCCCCCGTCCCTGTCCGCAAAAACAGCAAAGACGAGGAGAAGCGAGAGTCGCGCATCAAAAGCTACTCACCTTATGCCTTTAAGTTCTTCATGGAGCAGCACGTGGAGAATGTCATAAAAACCTACCAGCAGAAGGTGAACCGGAGGATGCAGCTGGAGCAAGAGATGGCCAAAGTAATTCCCCGCTTCTTCTGTCTGTTTGCCCCACGTGCGCCCCTCAGTTGGTAACAGCAGGGTCCCTTTTCTGCTCCCACTTTAGACTAACCCTTCTCACAGGTGTGTTAGAGAAGTCACAGATGTTGCTACTTCCCTCTCCCACCCCCTTTCTCCTGAGGGATGGCTGTGCGTAATAGGGTTATCATGTGTGTCCTTATTCTTTAAAAAACTCAGCAAGGAGCCCGGTGCTGTGGGGTAGTGGGAAGAGCCTCCTTCTGCAGTGCTGGCATCCCATGTGGGATTAGGTTTGAATCCCAGCTTCTCCACTTCCGATCCAGTGCTCTGCGATGGCCTGGGAAAGTAGGGGAAGATGGCCCAAGTGCGCACCCTCATGGAGACCAGGAAGAAACTCCTCCTTGTGGCTTCTGATTGGCTCAGCTCCGGCCCTTGCGGCCATTTGGGGAGTGAACCCGCAGATGGAAGACGTTGTCCCTCTGGCTCTGCCTTTTAAATAAATGAATAAACCTTTAAAAAAAGAAACCATCAAAATTTGCATAGTAACACAACACTTTGAAAAATAGAAACAAGGTTTGGGTTTTTTATAAATTTAAGGAAAAATATATCTAGTAGTGATTCATGTATGCCCTAAGTAGCTAATAATGTTTGGCACTAGAGTGCTACAGAAGGTTAATTATTAATAAATTATTCAAATTAAAATGGAACACTAACTTTAAAGTCACACAGGGCCAGTAATTCTGAAAATCGAATCTGTGCTCTTACTTCCTGCTGTCTAGCATTCACTGACCTTTTCTTTCCTGCCATCTCATTTTTCCCTGGGCTATTAAAATATTAGATTGCTCTTGGAGTTTCAGGGATGTTGTGGTCCCATCCTAATGGAAGCACCCCTCCTTTCTGGAGCTTAAACTCACCCAGAGAAAGAACTATTCTTTTCTTACCTTGGATTCCAGATTTGTGGCTGGCTGTGGCTATAAAGGAGAAGGCCAAATATTATCTTGCTTGTAGTGTATAAGGCCCATTCTAAGGTGTTTTGTGTGAATTAAGTTAGAGCCCTCTCGGTTCTGGGGAGCCCCCAGCCCACCCCCTGCTGTGGCTTGCTGTGCTGGGACCCCCTGTAACATGGCTCCTCCTCCCTTTCCTTCAACACAGGCTGGACTGTGCGAAGCTGAGCAGGAGCAGATGAGGAAGATCCTCTACCAGAAGGAGTCCAATTACAACAGGCTCAAGAGGGCCAAGATGGACAAGTCCATGTTTGTGAAAATCAAAACCCTGGGCATCGGTGCCTTTGGAGAAGTGTGCCTTGCTTGTAAGGTGGACACTCACGCTCTGTACGCCATGAAGACCCTGAGGAAGAAGGATGTGCTGAACCGGAACCAGGTGGCCCATGTCAAGGCCGAGAGGGACATCCTGGCTGAGGCCGACAACGAGTGGGTGGTGAAACTCTACTACTCCTTCCAAGACAAAGACAGCCTGTACTTTGTGATGGACTACATCCCTGGCGGGGACATGATGAGCCTGCTGATCCGCATGGAGGTCTTCCCCGAGCACCTGGCCCGGTTCTACATCGCAGAGTTGACGTTGGCCATCGAGAGCGTCCACAAGATGGGCTTTATCCACCGGGACATCAAGCCTGACAACATTCTGATAGATCTGGATGGTCACATCAAACTGACAGATTTCGGCCTCTGCACTGGGTTCAGGTGGACTCACAATTCCAAATACTACCAGAAAGGTATTGTCTTGGGCATGCCACCTCCACTGTCCACACCCAGACCCCTGTTTGCGTGGGGGTGGCCCCTGATCATTTTGGAATTGTCTGTCACTCTATTTTATAGTCTGCAGTGACATCCTTTTCTCCCTAAAGAAATAGTGTGATGTGTGTTAGGTGTCTTTCCTTAAGGTAGTGGGTTTCACTTTTGCTACATTTTAGATCTTGGAATGTCACAGGGCCTTTGTGAAGAATTCTCATAACCCCTCCAAAAGGGGTCCTCTGTCACAACTAACCTGAATCTAATGTATATTTCACCCCATTCCTTAGACTCCTGCTATTTGAAAAGATAACAACAACAGCAAAAACCCAGCTGGTTGTTATCTTATTTATGGCAGGGATTCTTGAAATAGTTATTTTAATACCCTAACTCAGACTTAATTTTTAACAGACTTAACCTTTAACTCAAAACTCGCCCTGCACCATCTCCATCTTCTGGCCTTGGAGAATGTCGTGCATTTTTTAAAAACCCGCTGCAGATTCGTTCTTGCTCATTTGAAAGCATGGCTTGTTGGACAGGGCCTTGTGATCTAGGCCCAGGAAGCATCAAGAATGTAGCCCTCACGGTGCCCCGCGCCTGCTCGGCATAGCGCGCCCTTTCCTGCACTGCCAGAGCACCCGGCTCTGTCCTGGTCCAAGCTGGCGCCTGCCGAGTGGGCCTCAGAGTCTGACACAGGCGCTGCCCCTGCGGCCAGTCACGCGCGAGTCTCGGTCCTAACCCGTCAGCAGCGGGGGATTGGAATTGATTTGCTACTCTAAGCTGTGGGTTCGTTGCATTGCTGACCAGCGAAGATTCACTTTGGTTTTCCTTCCTCCTTTTCACCACCCCCGGTTCCGGGCTGAAGGGAACCACATCCGACAGGACAGCATGGAGCCCAGCGACCTTTGGGACGATGTGTCTAACTGTCGGTGTGGGGACAGGCTGAAGACGCTGGAGCAGCGGGCGCGCAAGCAGCACCAGCGGTGTCTGGCACACTCTCTGGTCGGGACTCCAAATTACATCGCGCCAGAGGTGCTCCTCCGCAAAGGTATGGGCCAGCAACCCCTCGCCTCGAGCACCCCACGGCCAGCTGCCCAACTCGGGGCGCACCGACCTCCGCAGGCGTCCCCAGCGCTGGCTTCCCAGAGCACAAAATAGCCTGCCTGTCATGTGTCCCCACAGAAGCCCGGGAGGTACTCGCTCTCCCTAACGTCTGGGCCTCCACGCACCCCCTCCGTTGGGGAAGTGCCTTCGCTTGCCGGGGTGAGGGAAGACTCATCCCTTGGGCCCGAGTCCGGTGGCCGGCAATGGGAGGCTTTGCACCGGGACCTCTGAGGGGGGCCCCTAGAATTGGTTTGTGCAGAGGCAGAGGATGGCAGCCAGTTTCCAAGGGCCGCAGCACCGTGACTCAGCCTTGCCTGAGTATCTGCAGGCGCTGGCGGAGCAGAGCGCTGCTGGCCTTGCTGGCTGGGGCGAGCTGTACCACCCAGCAGGGTGTTGAGAAGCCAGGCTATGGAGAGCGCTTTCCTCCACTTGTTCCGCTCCGCTCTGCCCGCAGAGAATAGAATCTATGCGACAGCAGTGGACACAACATGACGAGGGCCCAGCAGAATCCATATGCCAAGCAGATGACCCCCGCTATCAAATAGGACGTCTGGCTCGGAACAAGGGCAGTGCTTCCGTGACCCTGTGTGGCCCGTATGACAGTGACTGGGGCCCCCGCTCAGAGTTAACAAATCCAGAGATAGGCGGCTTCTCATTCAAACCTGTGTTGTTAGACGTCCCAGGAGGCAGCCAGACCTGTTCAAGTCCCAGTTGTCTCTGCGAGCTGTGGTAAGGCAAGGGGAGCTCCTGAGCCACTCGGCCCCAGGCTCACAGGTACTAGCAGGAAGTGCCTGGAGAAGCTGTGGGTGCCACTCCTGGTGCAGCGGGCAGAGCAGCTAGTGATCGCAGCTCTGCAGCCTCCCGTGCCCAGCCAGGCAGGAAGAGAGGGGGTGGAGGGGGAGCAGGGGTTCTAAAGGGCCCCCACTGGCAAGCGCTGCCAGCCGTCACCGCACACACACCAGGGAGTGACCCCCTGTGTCCCCAGCACACTTAGCAAGCATTGGGTCACAGCAGGAAGAGCCTGGCTTCACTGTGACATGGGTCTCTGAGGGAAAAGTGGGCGAAAATCAAAGATGGGTGAACCTGCCCCATAGCCTCCTGGTCGTGACCCTCAGCAGGGCGTGTGAGGCAGGCCTAGCACCCCCGGGGTGCCCCTTTCCTCTTCCTGGTCTCCGTATTCCACACGGAAGCCTCTTGGACTACTCGTGGGTCTCAACCCTACATTTTCCAGGTTCTGTTACGGTAACTCGCTTCTGTTGGCGTGGTCTGGAAGAACTTAAAGAGCCCCGACAGCAGTGATCTTTTCTTTGGGCAAGTCCATCAGTAAAGGTGGAGAATAGACGTGGCCGTGAGCCCTTCCTGGCAGGCTGCGGGAGCCTCGGCACAGGGCTGGGCCCCGGGCTGCCTCAGAGTGCTCCGGGCTGGACAGGAAACGCATGCGCAGGGAGGACCCCCCCCCCCCCCAGCCTGGGCCCCTGTTGAGCCGACTCTGTCTTGCAGGGTACACGCAGCTGTGTGACTGGTGGAGCGTCGGCGTGATTCTCTTCGAGATGCTGGTGGGGCAGCCGCCCTTCCTGGCGCCCACGCCCACGGAAACCCAGCTGAAGGTGAGTTGGGGCGCGAGAGCCCCCAGCCGGCCTCTCGTCCTGGGTAGGGCGGGAATGCCGGTGCGGACCATGGAATTTTTTACAGTAATATCAGCGTTTGTAAATTTTGTTGACTTAAGGAAAGTCACAAAGTTGGAGCTGAGCTCTTTACCTGCCCGGCAAAGAGCAAGCAGAACTCCCCTTGTCTGGAATCAGCATCGCTGTTGGTGGATTTTCAGCTGTGGAGGCAGAGTGGATGTGTGTGTTCCGCATAGTCGTGTGAGGCAGCGTTACTGACTAGTTTTACAATTAGAGCCATTCCTGTCTATAATGAACAATTATTTGAGAGTCTGCAGCCTGCAGTGGATTTACCCATGGACACACAATTCTAGGAAGTTTTCATATCCCTGAAGTCCATAGTAGAACCTAAAATTAATAACCTTTTAATTAGAAAAATCCTCAATTAAGGCTGTTTCATCTAGAAGCAATAAAATTGGAAATAAATATTATCAACATCCTAATTGAATTTCTGAACCACTCACTAATTTGCCTGCATGATAATAACCCAGATTTTTTTATTGTGGTAAAATACACATATCTATCATAAAATTACCATTTTAGCCATTTTTGAACATTCACATGTAGTGCTGCGATCACCACTATTTTCTAAGTGTTGTCATCATCCCAGAGACTCTATACCCATTTAGTAACTTCCTCTCCCTCCCCCAGCCTCATGGAACCTCCATTCTACTTTCTGTCTATGCATTTGACAATTTTAGGTACCTCCTTTAAGTGGAGTCATACAGTATTTGTCCTTTTGTGACGGCTCGTTTCACTTCAAGTCTCATCTGTGTTGTGTGGCACGTATCAGAACTTGCTTTTCAAGGCTGAATTTTGGTCCACTGTGTGTTTAGAACGTGGTTGTTTATCCATTCATCCATCATTAGACATCAAGGTTGTTTCCACCTCGTGGCTGTTGTGCTCCTGTTTTCACTTCCTTTGCTTTCACTTCCTTTGGATATATCCCCAGATATACCTTAAAGCATATGGTTGTTCTATATTTTGCTTTTTGAGAAACCAAGTTTATAGTGCACCTGCAGTACACATGAGTTCCAATTTACCCATATCCTTTTTTTAAAGATTTATTTTATTTTTTATTTGAAAGAGTTACACAGAAAGAGGAGAGGCAGAGAGAGAGAGGTCTTCCATCCACTGGTTCACTCCCCCATTGGCTGCAACGGCCAGAGCTGCGCCTTACCCGTATCCTTGATAACAAAAGTTATTATTATCCTTGATAATTTTTATTATTTTCCTGGTTTTTTTTTTCTTTTTAGCCGTCCTAAGTGAGTGAGGTAGTATCATAGTGTGATTTTCATTTATATTTACCTAACAATTAATAGTATTGAGTGTTTTCATGTACTGGCCATTTGTGTATCTCCTTTGGAGGAATAGCTATTCAAGTCCATTGCCCTTTTTTAATCAGGTTGAATTTTTTTGTTATGGAATTGTAGGTGTTCTTTATATATTCTGAATGATTCTAATATATGTTTTGTACATATATGCTCTTGTTCCATTGGTTGGTTACCTTTTCCACTGGTTGATAATGTTCTTTGATGAACAAAAGCTTTGAATATTTTCTTATTGTCTGTTGTTTTTGGTGTCATCTAAGAAGTCATTCCCAGATCAGTTACCAGGCAGCATTTACCTTTATGATTTCCTCTGAGTCTTGTAGTTTTAGCTCTATTAAAACAACTACCTAGGTTCAAACCAGTCCTCCCACCCACCTACCCAGCTACTTCCAGGCCTTACCTGCTGTCCCAACACCCCAACTAGAATTGAGTTACACTGGCCTTGTTTCACCCTGATTCTAAGAATAGGCAATCAAGACTCTTGTTTTTTTTCATCATAGTGGACACATCTGTGATGAATGAATTCACCAAGCAGCCAGATGGCTGGTTTATGCAGATGGGCATCACGAACATGAACCAGGGCAATAACCATCAGACCCTCAGTCAGCTTTCCTCTATTAGGTTACTTTTTTTTAAAACAAAACCCCAGTTGGCCATCTTTTGGCCATAATAAATATTGAACGTGTGTCACAGTGGTTCAACAGAAACCCATTGCCATAGCTAAAGAAATGACTCGCAGAGGATCAGTCTCTTCATTTTTCTGGAAGACAGAATTGTGTTGCTAAGCAGTAGAGCATCCTTTAGTGTGTGTTTGGTTGCGTGGTCCCTTGATGCTGACTGGGAGGGACCTACTAAATAAAACCCCACCAGGGGCAGGTATTGTGGCCCAGGGGCTTCTGCCCACATCCCACATCAAAGTGCCTGGTTTGCATCACAGTTACTCCGCTTCTGATCCAGCTTCCTGCTGATGCACCTGAGAGGCAACAGATGATGGCCCTGCCACCTGGATGGGAGACCTGGATGGAGTTCCTTGCTTCTCCTGACTTCTGCCTGGCCCAGCCTCAGCTGGCACAGGCATTTGGGAGTGAACCAGAGGATAGATGATCTCTCTCCTCTCCCTGTCACTCTGCCTTTCAAATAAATAAAATCTTCTAAAAAGATGTCCACTCCGTTGTCAGCTGCTGCCTCTGTGTCTGTTCGAACTGCCTCGTACACTGAGGTGCAAGCCGTCAGGTCATCCCAGGCTGTGGCGTGGCAGCCCTGGCCGCCTGGCGCTGACATGGGACGGGAAGCTGACTTGTGTTCTGCCCTCTCTCCAGGTGATCAACTGGGAGAACACGCTCCACATTCCCGCCCAGGTCAAGCTGAGCCCCGAGGCCAGGGACCTCATCACCAAGCTGTGCTGCTCGGCAGACTGCCGGCTGGGGAGGGACGGGGCCGATGACCTGAAGGCCCACCCCTTCTTCAGCGCCATTGACTTCTCCAGCGACATCCGGAAGCAGCCGGCCCCCTACGTGCCCACCATCAGCCACCCCATGGACACCTCAAATTTTGACCCCGTAGATGAAGAAAGCCCGTGGAACGAGGCCAGCGAAGGGAGTGCCAAGGCCTGGGACACGCTCGCCTCCCCCGGCAACAAGCACCCAGAGCACGCCTTCTATGAGTTCACTTTCCGGAGGTTCTTTGATGACAATGGCTACCCCTTTAGGTGCCCCAAGCCCTCAGGAGCAGAAGCTTCGCAGTCTGAGAACTCAGATTTGGAAAACTCCGATCTGGTGGATCCGACCGAGGGCTGCCAGCCGGTCTATGTGTAGCCGTGCACCGGGGCCCGCAGGGCGCTCCGCCACTGGGGGGAGCAGCCCAGGTGGGCTACTTCTCTCGAGACTGTTCTTCACCGTGACCGCCCCACGCGGAAGCTGAAGGGACTCCACGTCCAGCCGAGCTGCCTCTCGGTCCTGCTTGACAGGCAGGGTGGGTCGACGTGACTTTGAGTTGGCTTTTGAGGACCTACACTGCATCAAAACAATATTTTTAAACATTTAGTACAGTTTAGAAAGAGCACTTATTTTGTTTATATCCATTTTTTCTTACTAAATTATAGGGATTAACTTTGACAAATCATGCTGCTGTTATTTTCTACATTTGTATTTTATCCGTAGCACTTATTCACATTTAAGAAAAGACATGAAAACTGAAAAACATGTGAGAAGAAATGTCTGTGCAATAATGTAAAAAAGTTAACAAGACAACACTCTTCCCAGATGTCATGGAGACAGTTTTATCCACACAATGGTTTTTGTTTGTATTTTTTCCCACATTTCAAAATCGTGATATATAATGTTAAAAGCTGCTTTTTTTTTTTTTTGGCTTTTTGCGTATTATAGTGTAATAGGAAGTGAGCAAGGTGATGATGTGGTGTGATTTCAGCCGTCTGCTGGGGACAGTACTGCATGAGCAGGGTTTTTCTATTATAAAATCACCGTATCTTGCCATTCACAGCAGGTCCTGTGAATATGTTTTTACCGAGTGTTTATAAATGAGGTATTCTAGACAGTGTGCTGATAACGTATCGTGTGAGTGACTTCCGCGCTATGATTGTATCCCTTATTGTTTTGTTACAGACATGCAGATGTGTAACTGAAAAGTGATTTGTGTGTGTGTGTGTCTTGGGTATGATTGGATTCTTTGGGGGGTAAAGTGAAACATTTGTCATATACTAAACTTATACACATCAAAAGGGATTAACGTAGCTATGCCAAAAATTTGAAGTTACTGGTGGACCCGTGTCTGTTTCTCTAGGCAGTATGCTCTTTGGTTCTTGGTGTAGCTGGTATGTGGAATTCAGTAACTCCAACCCTGCTACTTAACCTCTTGAATGCTTCTTCCCGCTGTCGTAACAGCTGAGACGTTACCATAATGAAATTGAATAATCTGACGGTTCTTTCACATGGTGTTCTAGTGTGCTTTGAAGTGTTGAATCATAACTTGGTGTAAACAATACATTTTTCTAACCTTTTTAAACAAGCAAAGATTCTTAGTGACAGTGGGATGAAAAAATAAGCCATACATATTTTCTTAGACGTATAGATGTATATATAACTACATAGGTAAACACACAAAATATTCCTTATTTCAAATTAGTATGGTGCCTATTTAAAGTGATTTATATTTGAGTAAAAATTTAAATTCTCTTTTGCTTTTTAAAAAATCTGATGCATCATATTTTTCATTATATTATTATTCCACATATTTTTCCTTGAAATTCTTAGTATAATGTATCCATTACTTAGTATGTATCTAGAAAACAACACTTATAAGTTTATCAAAAACTAAACTAAAAAAAAAACCCTGTGTACTGGTTTACATTTGTATGAATGGCATATTCCGAAGTCTGCTGCGCTTGTATCCTGACTGTCAGTATTTTCGCTATTTTACATAATGCCATGTTGTTATTTACAGCGCTCTGACATACTTTCATGTGGTAGGTTCTTTCTCAGGAACTCAATTTAACTATTATTTATTGATATATCATTGCCTTTGAAAAGCTTCTACTGGCACAATTTATTATTAAAATTTTGAATCCAAATCCGTTAGGTGGTGTCACGTTTTCTTGATGTTGCTAAGTTCTTGATTTTCTCAGCACGCCATAGCCCCCGCCACGTTGTCCTGGTGCTTCCCAGACAGCCAGAGCAGCATCCCTGGGGAGTCAGTGTCCCTGAGGGGAGGGAGCAGAGCTTCCCAACAGGGCTGGGCTGGGGAGAAGTGGGCTGCTGGGGAGACACACGGCTCCAGATCCCACGCCACTCCACGACCAGCTTCTCTGCTGTGAGCTGAACACAAAACGCACCTCCCTGAGGGGTTCCAGGTGCGCATGGTGGGCCATAGCTCATGCCTAGGAGCCAGCCCCAGCAGCAGCAGCATACGGTTAAGCTGGAAGGACAAAAGTCATGCCAAACCTTTTATTTGAAATGGTTTTGATAGCATTAAGAAATTGCTGGCACCGAGGCTCACTAGGCTAATCCTCCGCCTTGCGGCGCCGGCACACCAGGTTCTAGTCCCGGTCGGGGCGCCGGATTCTGTCCCGGTTGCCCCTCTTCCAGGCCAGCTCTCTGCTGTGGCCACGGAGTACAGTGGAGGATGGCCCAAGTGCTTGGGCCCTGCGCCCCATGGGAGACCAGGATAAGTACCTGGCTCCTGCCATCGGATCAGCGCGGTGCGCCAGCCACAGCGCGCCGGCCTTGGCGGCCACTGGAGGGTAAACCAACGGCAAAAGGAAGACCTTTCTCTCTGTCTCTCTCTCTCACTGTCCACTCTGCCTGTCAAAAAAAAAAAAGAAATTGAGAAAAGAGAATCTGAATGATTGTGAATCAAAGTGTGTGAAGGGATAAATGCCCTTTGCTTCGTTTACAGCCACTTTTTTCCCGCAGACAACAAACGATGGGTTTATTTTGCATCCTTAGAAAACATTTTAAGACACAGTGTAAGCAAATTTGTACATGTATGCTTGTTTACCTCTTACAGAAATGGGAGAATAGGCCAGTGCCACAGCTTACTTGGCTAATCCTCCGCCTGTGGCTCCGGCACCCCGGGTTCTAGTCCCGATTGGGGCGCCGGATTCTGTCCCGGTTGCTCCTCTTCCAGTCCAGCTCTCTGTTGTGGCCCGGGAGTGCAGTGGAGGATGGCCCAAGTGCTTGGGCCCTGCACCCCGTGGGAGACCAGGAGGAAGCACCTGGCTTCTGGCTTTGGGTCGCTGCAGCGCCAGCCATAGCGGGCATTTGGGGGGTGAACCAACAGAAGGAAGACCTTTTTCTCTGTCTGTCTCTCACTGTCTAACTCTGCCTGTAAAAAAGAAAAAAAGAAATGGGAGAATGTTATGCGTATATTCTGTACCTCTTTTCAGTTGACAATGTGTCTTGGCAATCCGTATCATCACATAAAGAGCTTCTTTGTTGTTTAGTATTACTGCATTCCAGTTCATTGTTGAGGCTGTTATAATCAAACCAGTGCCATATAGGTGGACACACTGTTGTTTCTGATCTTCTGTTAAAAACAGTGTTAGAATAACCTCTAGGAGTTGTCATTTTACAAATATGTAGTACAGATGGTATGTAAATACGTAGGGCAGATGCTTAAAAGTGGAACTGCTAGATGAAAAGTTTAAGGGTATTAGCAATTTGTATTGCCAGATTCCATAGGAAAAGGTTTCCTAAGAGTATCATGAAGGAACTGTAGGCCTGGTTTCCACGTATCTGTGATCATTGTGGGGTATGAATGGAGCCTGTTGAGGGAAGGAATATTGTGTTCCTTCCAAGTTTCCTTCACACTTGCTAAATCTAAATGCAAATCATTAAGGAAAAAAACATTAGCCAGCTTGGGGTGTTTCCTCTGAATTTTCTATGGTCTTCAGCTGGGATTTTTGAGGTGGAGTTTATCAAATTCCTCCAGATAAAACTTAACAAACCAAGTGTAGAGTCTCAGTAACTACACTGTTTTTACACTGATGGATAAAGCTGTGTTTACCATGCACAGTGAGATACTTTGAAGTACATGCACACATTGCATGATGACCAAATCTGATTAACACTTAAACATAACTCGCAGTGACTAGTATGTTGCTACTGCTCTCAAGATTAGTACATCCAGGGCCCGGTGCCGTGGCTCACTTGGTTAGTCCTCCGCCTGCGGCACCGGCGTCCCATGTGGGCGCTGGGTTCTGGTCCCGGTTGCTTCTCTTCCAGTCCAGCTCTCTGCTGTGTCCCAGGAGGGCAGTGGGGGATGGCCCAAGTGTTTGGGCCCCTGCGCCGACATGAGAGACTGGGAAGAGGCACCTGGCTCCCGGCTTCAAGTAGCGGCCATTTGGGGGGTAAACGGAAGAACTTTCTCTCTCTCTCTCTCTCTCTACCTTTCAAATAAATAAATAAATCTTAAAAAAAAAAAAAAGATTTAACACATCCAAAAAGATCTTGACTATTAAGTGAACATTTGCAACCAGCACTATGCTAGCATTATTAATCCCTTTATATCTTTTTCCATCAGTCCTGTTTCTTAGCAACACAATCTTCCATTTCCAAAAGTGGAAGTTTAAATTTCTTGGATAAAATGAGTTTAATCACTTTGTAGAGGAAGGAAAATCCTGTTACTGGACACTGGGGTGAAATTCGTCCCACCTCCTGTTAAGGAGAGAAAACTACTGTGGCCCTGAATGTAACATGGTTCTTTCTCAACTCACATCAGATAGTATTAGACTTTCTATTTGAACCATCAAGCCTAGTTTAGGAAACAAGAGAAGGAAAATACATTATATGTATAGATGTTTGCTTACTGCATTCTCTCTGATGTTCTAAGGTTTTGTTTTTTCTTTTGTCTTTTCTTCTTCAGAGACATCCTTTAGCCAATGGACATTAGGTAGCAAATTCTTTTTCTTTTCCTTCATCAAAAATTGTCTCCATAGCTCCTGCATTTCACAGGCTGTAGGATTCTAGACTGACAGTTCTATTGACACTTGCTTCTTAGCCCCATGATCTCTAAAGAAAATCTGTTGTCGTTCTGATTGGTTTTCCTCTTCAGATAAATGTTGTAGAAATCATCTTGACATGACTGTAGCCATCTGGGTTGTAACTCCCATCTTGCCCTTAAGGTAACCCGGATAGTCATCTCAAACCTTAGCTAATAAAGTCATAAAGTTGATCTGGGCTTGCCTTGCGCACATGGACCTGGAATGTCCCTTACTTAATGCCTGCAGTGTTAACATTTTGTGAGCAAGTCCAGGTGCACTTAATGTTAACCACAGGCCGCCTTAGTCTGGTTTAACACATTAACCCCTTAATACTGATCGGGGCTGGGTTTGTTAAGTCCCTCCTCCCCCTATACCTTTGTGTGACCCTGGATATGTCCACCTCATTCTTCAGCCCTCTCCACACCTGCCTTTGGTGGCCAGTTCTCATATGCTGGGTTTTCCAAAGCAGGTGTTTTCTTTGACTTCCTTCAAGGTTTTCTCCGATTATTTTTCCAAAGTTTAACTATGTGATGTGGGGCTGAAGTTGTGTTACAGCAGGTTAAGCTGCTGCCTGCGACACCAGCATCCCACATCAGAGTACTGGTTCAAGTCCCAGCTTCTCTGCTTTTGACCCAGCTCCTTGCTAATGAACCTGAGAGAGCAATGAGAGACAGGCCAGGTACCTGGGCATCTGCCACCCGTGTGGGAGACCCATATGATATTCTAGGCTCCTGGCTTCAGTCTGGCCCAGCCCTGGCTGTTGGAAATATCTTAGGAGTGAACCAGCAGATGGAAGATCTCTTTCTCTCTCTCTCTGTAGTTCTGACTTTCAAATAAATAAAATAAATCTTTTTTCAAAAATTGTGAGATATCTTTCCTTGTATTTGGGGGGCGGTTATCTTGTGATTCACTCAGTTTCTCAAATCTGGAGATTTATTTCTCCCTAAATTTGGGAAGTTCAGCCATAATAATTCCATGCTTTCTCAACTTCCCACTCCTTGCTACTCTCCTTCTAGAACTCCAGTGGTGTGTGTATTGTTAGATCTCTTGTTACAAACCCTGAGGTCCAGCTAGTTTTCCTTCTGTTGTTTAACCATGATTAATGTATATTTTTCTATATTCCAGCTCACTAGTTCTTTCCTCTGACCCTTTATTCTCTGTTCCCATCCACCGTGCTTTTTATTTCAGTTATGGTATTTGTTCTAAAATTTCTACGTGAATCTTTACATTTTTCCTTTTCTTTCTTTTTTTTTTTTTTTTTTTTTTTTTTTGCTGAGGCTTCTGTTTTTAGTTTGTTTCAAGGATGTTTCTGGTTGTTCACTGAAGCCCCCCCTTTTTTTTAATTACAACTGCTTTTAAAGTCTTAGATAATTCTAACATCTGTCATTTTGGTGTTTCCATCTGGTGACTTTTTTTTGCTCAGCTCTGAGATCTTAGTTCTTGGTGCTGTGAGTGACTCTTGATGGAAACCTGGACATTTTTTGTGTTGAATCTGAGAGTTTGGTTCTGCTCGGGCTGGCTTTCCTTGACATGTCCCCGGCAGCGTCAGGACAGACTGCTCGCTCCCGCTGGGCATGGGTGCTGCTGCGTACACCACTCAGGGATGGCCTCATCACCACTGGGGAAATGGTAAGACAGGTCCTGGCTCTCCTCTAGGGCTCTAACAACCCCAACAGGGGGAGGCGGGATGCTTCTTGGTGGCAGGTGAGTTTCAAAGTCCAGGCACCTATAGGGTTTTTTCTTTTTATTTTTTTATTTTCTTTTCTTTTTTTTATTTTTGACAGGCAGAGTGGACAGTGAGAGAGAGAGACAGAGAGAAAGGTCTTCCTTTGCCGTTGGTTCACCCTCCAATGGTGCATCGCACTGATCCGAAGCCAGGAGCCAGGTGCTTATCCTGGTCTCCCATGGGGTGCAGGGCCCAAGCACTTGGGCCATCCTCCACTGCACTCCCTGGCCACAGCAGAGAGCTGGCCTGGAAGAGGGGCAACCGGGACAGAATCCGGTGCCCTGACCAGGACTAGAACCCGGTGTGCCGGCGCCGCAAGGTGGAGGATTAGCCTAGTGAGCTGCGGCGCTGGCACTTTTTGTAT